ACTATTTTTGCAACTGCGGGTGTTGGGTTCCACGCTCCTTCACTGGTTGAGGTGGATGGATTGTTGGTGGCCGTTGCGCAGGCCTCTCTGGGGTACGGCTCCGGCTTCATTCCTTCGGACGTTGTGGCGCGGACCTTGGAGAAGGGTGAGGCGCGGGAGTGGGTGGCAGCGGCGATAACCGCCCGCGGTGAGGAGGCGGTGGGGCGAATCGCCGTCCCCCACGGAGGACTGAGAGGTGCAGTGCGGGTTGAACGCCCAACGATGATCGTCAAGGACCATAAGATTTTTGTACTTGCCGGGGCCTACAACTACTCGATTTCAAGGGGCTTCCCGGAAAGGGCGGGTGAGATTGGGGAGCTTCTGCTGACGGTCGGCGAGCTGCAGAAGACAGACGGTAAGAAGGAGATTGAGTGGGGGCGCCCTGTTCCGCTAAAGGACATGCTGATGGCGAAGCCCAACGCCAAGTCCTTGCACCGCTTCCTTGGCGGCGGCGGCGGCGCAGGGGTTCTGATGAAGGACAAAACGGTTGTCTTCCCTGTGCAGGCCGCGACCAAAGATGGAAACCCCATCTCCCTGGTTATCTACTCGAAGGACGATGGCGTCACTTGGGGCGTTTCGAAGAGTGTGCCTGCAAGGGGCTGCTCCGACCCCGCGGCGCTTGAGTGGGAGGGAAAACTCCTCCTGGTAGCTCGGTGTGACAACGGCAAGCGCCAGGTGTTCGAATCCGGTGACATGGGAGAGAACTGGCGACCGGTGGCCGGGCCTCTCTCAGGCCTCTGGAGGAGGCCCGAGACACACACTGAGCAAGGCATCCAGGGTGGCTTCGTCACCGCCACCATTGGCAATACGCCTGTGCTGCTCTTTACGCTGCCGGTGTCCTCTGTGGGGTACATGGGGGCGACGCAGCTCCACCTGTGGGTCACCGATGGCAAAAACATCGCCGATGTTGGGCCTATCTCCAGCCCTGTTTCCAACGCCGGCTCCAGTGCCCTACTTTACACAGGCGACGGGCTATTTTCCCTGCACGAGAGAAGCCAGCACAGTTCGACGAGCGTTTTCCTGAAGGACCTCACCACCGAGCTGCAACAGGTAAAGCATGCCGTTACGGTATGGGAGATGCCGGCTGCTCAGCTCTTGGGATCCCGCTTTTCCTCACACCTGAGATACCCTTCGTCAAACCAGGCCTGCAAACCCGCTGTCGTCACGGACGGTTTGGTGGGGTTTTTGGGGGACAACGCTACCGATGGTCACTGGGAAAACGACATGCACCGTGAGGCCGCAGCCGTAACGAAGGCGATCAAGGTTCCCTGTGGTTTAAGGTTCCAGGGGGCAGGGGCACGAGCGCTGTGGTCTGTGCGCAAAAAACCTGAGGAAGCAGCATACCAGTTCAGCAACAACGAATTCACGCTTGTGACCACTGTAATGATTCACAAGGCGCTCTACGGTGACATTTCCTTGCTGAGTGTAAACCTGGACTCTGGTGCGAGGAGGCGCCTGCTGGGGCTGGCATACAGCACCTACGGGCATTGGATGCCGCGTTACGAGTACATTTCGCACTTGGCGTCGATGAAGTGGGAGCCGCACAGGCGATACCATGTGGCTTTGGTGCTTCAAGGCGGCCACGGCTTTGTGTACGTGGATGGGAAGCTGCTGCCAGGAGGCGGGACGAGAGTGGACCCCAGCAAGGGGTCTTCCGACAGCCTGCACTTCTACTTGGGCGGGTACGGCGGACCGACTGCGCACAAGGAGATTGACGTGACGGTGGCGAGTGCTATGCTTTACAACCGCGCGCTGAGTGCCAGCGAGATTGAGGAGCTGCACAAGGGCATGACGGCAGTGGAGGAGGCGTTCACTGTGCGGCCAACCACGGACGAAAAGCGCCTCGCGCCCAACGACACCGAGACACCTGCAGGGGCGCAGCCGGTTGTGAGCAGCCCCAAGTTTACCACGGGCAGCAGCGTCCCGCCTGCAGGCAGGTCCTCGGAGGAGCGAGTGGAGGTTGGGGAGTCCAGCGCGGAAAGCGGCAGTGAGTTAACGCAGGAAAAGATGGGATTGCGCGTTTCAGAGGTGGCGTCTGGACCAATTCGAGGGTATGGAGTAGCTGGCATGAATGGAGATGGGGCGAACGGGGAGTCACAGGATGCTGCTGGCCCTGCCACGAAGTCTTGGGGCAGGGGCGCTGGTTCGCCATGGGGCGTATTCGGGGACAGTTCGGTGCATGTGCGCGGGAGCTGGTCGTTATTGCTTGTGTTTTTGGGCCTCTTGACGCTTCTCGCTTACTGCTAGCCGCAGGAATGAAGGCGGATCGGCATCCACGGTGAATACTTTTTAATAAATTTGCTGTCCGTGTAGGACCCGTTTTTTATTGTTGTTTTTCCATGTGTGCGCGTTTGTTGTAGTCTTTTTTTTGTGGGGTATAGGTGGACTTCCTTATTTCACCACAGCTTGTTCTTCTTTTTTGTTTTGTTTTTTGACATTTTTTTTTATTCTTCCTTCTCCGCTGAACGCTTGCTACGGTACTCTCACGAGAGAACATTTCCCACACCTTTTGCTTTTGGGTTGCCCACACGCGCTGGCAGTCTCGGCGTGAGCTCTTTTTCATGGACTGCGCCAGTGACTGAGCGGGTGAGGTGAAGAACACAAGGCAACGGGGCCCACAGAGTCGGAGTGTGGTGTGTGTGTGTGTGGACATTTGGCTCGTGAAACACGGCAGCCGTTCGTTCCTGCAGGCAATTTTTGCACGCACGAAGCAGTTTTGTGCAGCCGCAGAACGCTACGCAGCAATCAGTTTTTTTAAATTTTTTTTGTTTTGCAGGAAAACATTATGGACGACAATAACTTTTTTTTTTTCTACTGGGCGCGTGAAATTTATAAATGATCAAGGGCGTTTTTTGTTTTTGTTTTTGTTTTTGTTTTTGTTTTTGTTTTTGTTTTTGCTGTCTTTTCCGAGGCTTGGCGCTGCGTGGGCTGTGCTGCACTCTTGGGCCCGAGTTGTGCCTTCCCCTCTTTCCGTCCTCTTCCCTTGCTGCGTGTGTGTGCGTATGCCCTCTCAC